CCGCCCCCCCCCTCCCTCCCCCCAACCAAAAAAAACAAATACAACTACATGCACCAATAGACAGTAATCCTGATTATTGGGACCCCGCAAAAAGGCACCCCTAGTTTTAGGAGACACCCAAATACCTGAAACCTACATGAGATAAGGGAATATAATCCCTCTTCATCCCTGTATAATGTACTGCCGCATTCCCTACTAAGAACCAGTAGGTAGAGGCTCCCTAGAAGATCTCACAAAACATACATGGTAAGGATCTCACGTGCGTGGTGTTCGTCGCCATCTTCTTCCGCAAGCACCTTCCAAACAACAGCGGCTCGAATTCGAGCTGTAGCATTCTTGCGGTAGATAGGACGCACATCTGCTTTGGGAACAACATGGGAAACCCAACTGTACTGTGAGTATGGAACGAGGACGGCCTAAGCATGCTGCTTCCAAGCAGGTCAAAGTAGGCTGTGCCTGCTTGAGTACCTACTTTCTGCATCTTATAAGACCCCAAGCAATACGACCTGAGCTTCCCCTCCTGCGGATGACACTGGCCTGTCATATTCGCTAAGCGATGGGGTCGGAAGAATTCGGACGGCACGCAGCTCGCACCTGGGCAAGGGAGGAAACTGTCAACGTAATTCATGCTAGCAGGACTAGCGGCAGGAAAGTGATTGGAAGAACTTCTCTCGGGAAATGGTGGGCCGAAGGGTCCATTGCTTCAACAACTTGACAATGTCGCTGCAAAACAACATGATTGTCTCAAAGGTCCTTCCGCAGGGTTAACTCGATGGGCTACACGTCTCCTCGTTATGAATTCGGGACCTAGGTCAGTGCACTAAGCCGGTCAATCAACTTTTCCTTGCCTGTGCATCCCCCTTTAAGACATCGGGTCTGGAAGACCTTCACATCCAAAGTATGGGCGTGCTACTCCTCCGTACGTTGGCCAATAGTCACAACCAACCCTGTATCACCAATTATTTTTCCAAGCAAGGACGGCTATACCCTCTTTATAACAGAGCTCCCAAGTTGCCTTAAACACCCAAAGACGCTAAACTGCCCCAAAACTTTGACAGCAATCTGAGACAGCGGCTGGTCTACTGCTCCTGCAGCTGTCAACCGATGCGGGCACGGAAAAAAACAAGGTGAGGGCATGCTCCAACAAGGGGCCAAAGCCTAAGGTGTGTGGTGCGGCTGTGTAACTTCATTCGAGGAACCTTGTAAGACGGGGTGGTGATAGTAAATGCACAGTCTCACTGTGGGTCCAGAAGCATAGAAGCTGAGATTTTCCAGACTTATTCTGTATATCCCCGCCTACCACAAGAGGTTTCCACATCACTAGTCTTCATATATGAGCGGGTGTTGGGGCTACCAGCTTCCCGGACCTCCACAGTAAGTAATATCGTGTCCCCAAAGCCATGAAACAAGACCCTACAACCTAATTATTCCAAGGGTTCTGGTACTCCTTATTGTGCTCTAGAAACTTCAGCATCCCCCTCTAACAATAAACCTCCCAGCCCCCCTAGTAAGTTTGGGGACTCCATTATACGGCGGGAGTAGTCATGGAAAACTAGGAGACCGAAAGAGACAGGGTGGCGAGGAAGCTTAGACTCTCCACCCCTGAGCGGAACATTGCAGAAGGCGGTCCTTGTAGTTTGCGCAGGTTGCCACTTGCACCTTCCACAGTCTCCACCATCTAAAGCCATGAGGTGAGATATGAGGGGTTGATGAGGACATTATTGGGGGACGGTGTTTGGGAAGCTCTCATTTGTCGGGCTACAGATGACTACGGTGGCTCCTTCCAAAAGCCCTTGTACTGAGAGCACTTTTGGGGGCACACTTGGACCCAAGAACTGAGCATGCCTCAACGCACAAATCTCTACTTGTCCTAGAACTTGCCGAATTCCGGCTATGTGTGTACGGAGCTTAGCAGCAAGAATATGCGAACCATGTTCTTTTCAAGGATATTTGCTCTGGCATTTCAAAGGGCAAAAGCTGATGGAATTCATTGTGCGCCTAGGTTCCTTGCTCTCCGATGAGAAAAACACGAACCTATACATAAGCAGCGGCCTGGATGCAAACTTTTCGCGCCCGCGTGAGAAGCAGGTGCAGTGGGAATCGCTGCTCAGGCTCTTGAAGGCTACTCGGGCGCTATGCTGCGTAAAAGCAGTCCCAGTAGCAATTGGGTAGCTGCCAAACTTTTGTCCCTCTTTTGGGAAGCCATTCTCACTTCAAATTCTTACCTTCTGTGGACCCCGAATAGGGATTCTACAGTCGTGCGACTCTTAGTCTCTGCTCATGCTGGGGTCCTAAAGAGAGGACCATAAGTATGACAGCCACCTAAGTCCAGGTGCAGTAGCAACCCCGGCAAGTCCGAGGCTGCCTACGGAAGACTTCCGACTATGCGTTCAGAAGAAGATTTTCTGATGGCTTCTAAACGACGAAGGGGGGATCCAGAAAGGCACACCTGACATCTGCATAGCTTGAAGAATTTAACCTCATTCTTGTACTGCCGAGTACTACGGTACGATAGGTGTGGTCATGAGGACTGGGACCCCGCCCTCGTTTTTGGAAACTCCAATAACTTGTCACCGCATACTTCCACACAGGGTTCGCTCGAAAGCCACGAACAACGTGAAGACGGTGGTGATGTAGACCGACCGCATCCCGAAATCGCGGAGGGCTACAGGTGAGATCCTCCAGCTGTACCTTGACTTGCCCACATGGGTATAGTCCCCCTAAATAGATAGAATATGGCTTTGGATATATTATAATAAGATCCCCGTATACCCCAGATTCTATCTACTTAAGGGGGATTATAAACTCAAACTGTGTAGGATGTCAAGGGCTCCCACTGGGATCACTTCCTTCAAGCGTTGATGGGTAACTTCGACAAGTCCACTTTCGTAAATGCCAAAGTGGGGGCACAATCTGGCAGCTTCAACATTGCAATGCTCGAATTGAAATATTCCATTCCTTGAGCCTAATTTCAGGCACCCCCTAAATTGAACAGACTTCGCCCCATGTACAAGTCTCGTGCAGGGAATGCTTGATATTCGGAAGTGGGGTCTAACGAAGGGAAAGGGATTATCCAAGCTGACTACTTGCAAACAAAGCGTAACACCTGAACCTTACAAACTTGTCCTATCATCCATACGAGCAATACGTAAACCTTAAGAGAGACCTATACCTAGATATTGCCGAAGGAGCTGAAATGCTCAAGTCATTGAGTGTTTTGCTCAGACTGTTGGGACTGCCTATATACACCCGAACTACAATATTTTCTCGTAGGACTCCGCAAAAGGGAAAGTTGGACAACAACACGGACCCCCCCCCCCCATACACACACATAAATATGTGTATTATATACGATCATTGTGATCATGTATATACTACATATGATCGCGGTCTACCCCAAAGCAGACAAACGAAAGGATCCCACTATTTTTTGAGTGAATTGGCCAGAGATGCTCCTGCTGAGGGGGAGGCCGGCTGAAGTCGGTTATCATCACCTGACAGGAGAGTGTGGGGAGGCGGGTGCTTTAACCCTAAGCACTTTAAGCTTAAGCCCTACCTGAATTCCCGAAAATATGTAGAATAATGGCCTGTTGACTCTTTTTTGGTTTAATGGCTTTTAAGCCAGTATTGGCTTGCTCCTAAGCTCCAGGTATGGCGCCTCATCAGCCCTGAACCTCGAGACAAAACTTAATGGTTTCACTTGTGGGTGCCAACTGGGATGGCATAGGGCTTGAAAGCAGACAATCCAAGGCTTAATCTCAAAACCAGTGCCCCATTCTCTTGGCGTTGCGCTATGGTGACCGATGATGTTTGGGGCACGTAGGGGGACACGAATTTACTGCAAGCAGCAGGTCGAAACCTATAACCCACAAAGCTTTGGACAGTCCCATACACGAGACAACGTATGCCTTGATTCTTAGACACCGAAACTTTTGCCCCTCTTTATCTCCCCCAAACTAATATCCAACCGGCCAAAAAAACTCTACACCGACTGTTGTCCTGTTGAACTCGCGGGTAGCTTTGGGGCTTCACGATTAAACCCCAACCTCATCACATACATCCTCATATCTCCGCATATGTTTCCATGTAGCCCGCGATATATTCCTCAGTATTATATACCCCCGCCCATATAAATTTCCTACACATCCCTATCTTCCCCTATAAACCCCCTAGAATTTCCTATGCATCCCTATATCTTGGTATATAGCTCCCCTATACTCCCCGACCCTAAACCCTAAACCCAACCCTAAACCCTACATAATCCATTATAGTAGTTTCCATTTTCTTTTCCATTATCCCAATATATAACCCGTTTAACCCTAAAACCAACCCCCAGTAAAATGTGGTGAGATTGCAACTCCCTCGCCTCGCGGGGCAAAGGCACGAAGTACTGCTCCCGCAAGAACTTCCTGGCCATGCCTGAAGGACGGCCAAGGATTTTGGGTTTAGGGGTTTAGGGGTTTGGGGGGTTTTAGGGTTTAGAGGTTTAGGGTGTAGGGGTTCAGGGTCTAGGGGTTTAGGGTTTAGAGGTTTAAGGATTCAGATTTTACCCTGATTGGGGTTGTGTCGGGTTTACATGTGCAAATGGTACAGAAAATGGAAGCTACCCTATGATTCAGGGGTCGGGTTTATGAACCCCCTACCCACCCCTAATATATGACCCAGAGTGTAAGACCATTAGATCCTACGGAGAATCCTTATTCTCAAGTTGGTTGGGAATATCTTGTCAAGTAGTCAAGAACGATGGCCTCCTACCCCTAGCTCAGCAAGCAGGACAAGCCACAAGAGTTCATCCCTATCCAGAAAAGCACTTGCCTAGTAGCAATGTAGCACACCTGGCAACTGAAACTCAGGGGTTCATAGTGAGTTGCACCCGCAACAACTGGCAATTTCACATGAACATGCTACAGGGTGCGGAATCCACATTAAAAGACATCTTCGCTGCTTCAGAAGACATCTTGCCATTTTCATCTCAGCCTGATGTAGGACGCTAAAGGTGCTGTCTCTGAAGTCTAACCATTGCCAGCAGAACTCCTTTGCCAAATAAGCTATCATCAAAACTCCTAGTATCCGCAGTAATGAGCCCTATAATCGTCCCCCATACAATCCCCTTTGAAACCATAAACCCTAAACCCAATAGAACCTTCTTTAAGGAGTTAAGACTATAATACATATCAGGTATGTTGGCACCCACCCACCCAGAAAATGAACAAGTACCTCTTTTACCCTAGGCCCTAAGCCTTCAACCCTATTACCTGAATCCTGAAACCGACTTCCTAAAACCCTGAGTTTCAGGCCCTTATCCCGACCTACACCCCGAACTCATAAGTCCTAGACCCTGATCCCTGAACCTCACAAACCCTAAAACCCCTTAAACCCTACACCTAAAACCTTAAAACCACCCCAGACCCTAAACCCCCCAAATCCTTCTGTGCTGCAGGGATGCTAGCCCGACGCGCGAGGCTCACCTGTTTTGCCTCTGGAGTCGTAGCCAAGAAGTTGAAGAGCTGGTGGACGGGAGCCTCAGGCTGCTCTAGGGTTTAAGGTTTGGAGGTTTAGGATTTAGGGGTTTAGGGCTTAGGATTTAGTGTTTAGGGGTTTAGGATTTGGGGCTTAAGGGTTTAGGGCTTAGGATTCAGGGCTCAGGATTTAGGGGTTTAATGTTTAGAGTTTAGGGTTTAGGTTTCTTTCTTTGTTGCTACTTGGAGGATCTCTTGACTGAGTAAGTCTACGTAGAAACTGGGGTTATGGGGCTCATAGTAGCAGTTATTGGGGGTAGTAGGTAGACTTACCAAGCCGAAAAAACATCCAAGTGCTTTACAGTATACATAGACCCCCTATACGCCATGTACTTTACCGAGATATCCCTTTTTCAAAACTGCTTACTAAGTGCCCCTGACCCTCCATAATAAGGACCCCGGCAGGAATACCGTGAGAGCTGTACGTGAGCATGGTCAGTAGTCTCAAAACCACCCAGGCTACCACTATGTGGTGTTCACGGCTATCAACCTGAATAAGCTGACCACGAAGCTGCCGTCTAGAGTACCATGATCAGACGTAAAGGCAGAGACCCAAAGTAATTCTCTCCTACTTCCTGTCTTGCCCCACACAAGATTCCAAGATTTGGTCATTTGACAAGTTTGGGGAGCAACTTGATGCCCCCCGGTGCCAATTTCAATGAAATCCCATCTTTAACGAGTGCCAGGGGCTGTGACGGTGCACGTCACCAGTGAGCTGCTCACATCGCACAAGGCGGCCTATCACAGGTTCGACCACCAAACCCATGCAGGCAACCAGGCTATAAGTCCTAAACTCTCAACAAATCACGGTTGACCCCGTCTCAGAAAAGCAAACTAATTCTTCATGCGCGCCGCAAGATTACCTACCGAGCGCCCATGCACAAGACTTATACACCCTCTAATCATAAGTGAGCCCCAAAAAACATTATTTTCGCGGTGGGAATGATTCTTATTAGCGGGCGGGGGGATTATCATCATGAGGAGGGTATTGCTGGTCTAACTCGTGATGCTCTCGCCGCTGGCATCACCACCACCGCCGCCTTTGCGCTGCGTACCACAAATATGGGGACAGGAGGTTCACGAAGCGGACTACTGTTTCTTTCCATGGCTGAAATATCAATACCTTCCTCTGTTGGCATGCTATACTTTGGAGAGAGGATGTTACTTGACATTGTGGACTACAATACCAGTTCCCTTTTCGTGTTCCATTTGATTCCCCATTATAGGGCCATAGCATTGACCCATTGAAACATGCTACTCACCTAAAAACCAATAGAATTCAAGCAAAAAACCCTGAACCCTAAACCCAGGCCCCTCAGCCCTTACCCCTGATAACTAACCCTAGATTAACGCCTGCATAAACAAGTCAAGGCACGTCTCATTGGAAAGGCCACTACCCCCTCAACCCACCCTTAGTTTCCATTACCTAGCCCCTTAGCCCTAAGTAGTGGATTGTATAATATCCCATTACCCACCCCCTAAACCCTCAACAGTGGTCTGTGATTAGAATGTCCCTTTGAAAATGCTACTCATGGGGGTGCTAGGTACGCATATCACGAAGCATTTGCGCAACTTGTAAGTGTAACTATAGACGGATATAGCTTACAACCTGGCTTCTAGACCCTAAACCCTGAACCCTAAACCCTAAAGCCTGAACCCTAAACCCTAAACCCTGAACCCTAAACCCCAAACCGTGGGTTTGGCATGCTGCCGACCTTGGCGCGGGATTCGCCTGGAATCCGCTCCTTTAGCCAAGGGGAGAGGCTCCGCACGGCCATGACACCTAGGGTTTACGTAGGATTTAGGGGTTAGATTTCGGGTTTGGGGAGGACTTAGGATTTAGATTTCGGGTGTTAGGGCTTAGGGTTTATAGGGTTGAGGGACTGAATACGTAAGGCGTAGGGTTTAGCGAGCAGTACTGCATTACGGACGAGGAGGCGTTTGAAGAGTTGGAGGGGGAGGGGGCATGCATATTATAGTCTGATGTGCGAGCACCAAGCCAGTCAGGTCACCACATCTGTTGCAAACTCTTTTCCGACCATCCCCGCAACGAGTTGGGAAGCACTTGCTCTTCTAGTCTTATACTCCGCCTCTCTGCCCATCTACTAAAGATGCCGCATTTCTCCTTAGCAATGAGCATCAACACATGCGGGGAGGGCGCCCTAACTCAGCACCGCATCATGAAACAACTCAACTCCCGAATCTTAATGATCTGGGCTGGGGGTCTCTTTGCATGTTTCCCAATTGACTAGGCTATGAAGTTTCCCATATCCCATCAGAAGGATCTCCATATGTCCCCCTATGAAAAGTCGAGGCGCTGAGGAAATTCCTCACCAGGAGTGCCTCTGCCCCAGGACCCCAGACGTCCTGCACCCTTGTCAGGGGCACATTCTTCCTCGACTCGTCTGGGGCTCCAACAAGAAAGAACCCAAAAGAACAAGCACTCAGCGGAGAGGACTCCGTGTCTTGATAGTCCCTCTTTTGGCGAGAAAGCTCTCATGGGTCCATGGGTCGCCTACAGCTTATGGTGGGAAGCAAAAAAGGGCTCTAACAGTGCCAAAGGCTCCGGGATCCATCAGTGACCGAGGCAAACATCACGAAGGAATTGTTATACGCCATTTGCGCATTCCGAGACTGAGAGCCAAAAGTCAGCATGGTTTCCTGGATTGCAGGAACTTAATTCAAGTTACTATGGTAACAAAGAAAACAATACTGATTAATATGTATCTCTATGTCTATATATTCATATGGATGTATATACCATTATGGTAACCAGTGTCGACCAGCGAGGCGCCAAAAGAAGCGACAGCGGAGCAAGAGAGCTTCGAAGCGCCTGTCATGGGTAGCTCAGGACTAGGTTCCCCAGTAACTCCCTTAATAGGGTATAGTCCAATTTACGTAGATAGAATATGGGGTATATCGGGATCTAATTATAATATACCCAAAGCCATATTCTATCTACTCAAGGGGGACTATACACCCGTTTCCTAATGTTCAGCTTTAATAAGGAGAATCCAAAATACAACGGGAAAACAGATCCTACCGCGGTACCTAGAGGACTTAGCGGGTGGACTCCCCAGGCACTATACTATATCCTAAACTAAAAACGCACAATGAACGTTCTACCCCCACACCTCTCCCCAGCACGGAAGCAAGGGCTCTCAGCCTCCTCACCCTAAACCTTAAGCCCTAAACCCTAAATAGTAGTTTCCATTATCTTTTCCATTATCCCAATGTAACCCCTATATAAACCCTATATAACCCCTAAAATCCCATTTTCTTCTCCATCATCCCTATGTAACCCCCATATAACCCCTATATAACCCCTAAGAACCCTCTACCATCCCAGCCTGTCATCTCCCTAAGGCTGCTGTTCATGAAGTGGTAGATGGGCCCAAGGGCCAGAAACTGTGGACAAGCAACGACGGCCGGGGCCAATCCGCCCGTCCAACCCGCCTGTGGGCCGCCGCGGAAAACTTTGCCTTGTCGATACCCTTGGGGTTATATAGGGGTAATGGAAAAGAAAATGGAAACTACTATTTAGGGTTTAGGGTTTAGGATTTAGGGTTTAGGGTTTGGGGTCCAACCATTGGGGCAACTTTGGGGTAATATTAGTAATATTGGGAGAATGGAAAACAGACTATAAACTACCATAATTCTAGCGGTTATATAAGGGGTATATAGGGTTGGGGGAAGAAAGCTGCAGTCAGATTATGAAACGCAATTAATATGACCTTGATAGCTGTACTTGTTGCAGAGACTACAGGCCATCACCTGGTGATAAGTGAGGTTTTCCCTACCTATAGTAGCTTGGAACAAAAAGTATACAGCCTCAGCATAGATTGTCTGCTCGAAGCGGAACTGCCCAAGTGCACACCCTCGGAGGCAAAGTTAAACATAAGTATCATATAGCCCTAGCAACACTTATCCTGATTGTCGGAACACCACAAAAAAGGCATCCCTAAATTTTGGACCCCATATAAGCCTAGTTTCGATCACATCGTCCATGTGATTTTCCGTTTGACTATCCATTGCAGGCGTACTCTCCCATGATCCCTATATAATCCCCACATACACCAAAATTTCCCAAAAAGCAGCCAGTTTACGGTACAAGCCCATAGTGCCGGACCTTTTGTCCTGTGCCCCAAGCGTCAATCCATTCCGCAGAGGCGTGCAGAGAAGAATCACAAAAGGCCCGCCAACAGCTCCACTCACTAACCTCAGTCACATGGAGGGCTCGAGAGGTCTTCTTGGGTCTGGAAGTCTCGCAGCTGAAAGAACCCTGCCAGCTCTTTGTTGCTGATGTTTGCGCGCAAGGCATGGTACAAACTGCTTCAGCTTCTGCGCTCCGGTTCTAGAGGCGGGGCCCAACAGGGAATTCCCTACATAACTACTTTGCAAAAAATGTAGGGACATCAGGGACATCATGCTCTCTTGTCTGTTGCATCCCTGAACAGCCCGAAGAAAACCTAGCAAACAGAAGCCTCAAACCCCAAAATATGACATCCCAGCAACAGCGGTGTGTCCGGCAGCTGACGTCTGAACCTTTGCCAGAGCGATGCGCTCTGCCTGCCATCTGGGAGGTCTGGTTGCGCCATGGCTCACAGATGCGGCTACGGATGTAAGTAAGTAAGTATGTATGTATGTATGTATGTACGTGAGTGAGGTTGAGGGGTCTAGCTTCAGTTGAAAAGCTAAATTGGCTGTCTCAAGATGCTGACCGCCAGGGGCTATTGCAATGTAAAAAACATGCTTAAGGCAAGAGCACTCATTATGAGATGGGATTTCGAGATGCCAAAGCATATCCAAAAATCTCTTGGTACGGCACCTTTCCGCACATTGACATGGTAGAGCCGTGGTCAACGAGCGGGGTGGGGGCGGAGGGGGGTAGCAACCCTGGATCATACATGGGGTTTTATAGGGGAAATATTGGGATAATGCAAAAGAAAAGATTATAGGGGAATAAGAGGGGTCCATAATAGAGATTGCGCAAATCCAATTTGAATTAAAAAAACATGCTCGCCATGTGTTAAACACTAAACCCGAAACGCTTTGAAGTCATGATGCATCGATATGCTGGTGGCTGGCTTCAGCCTTGAAGATCATGCTCTAACAGGTTACCAAAAGGACATCACCCCCATGGAGGCTCCAGAGGTCCACACTACAGGCTACATAAACATACGACACAGGAGACTCTTACCTGGAGAGGGTCCCAATGCCAAGCCACATAGGATGCCTCCAGAAAGCGGTTCTGACAGCGGGAGCTTGGATGAAACAAGATAGGAAGCTTTGCTGTTTTCACGATTACGGGCCATGTTTTTGAATCCCTGGAAGAAGTGTGGACTATGACTGTGAAGAATGCCGTGATTATTACATTTCAAGAGCGGTGCTCTCCGCCGCTGAGACCATGGAAATTCTACAACCCCAAACGCTACCATAGCAACCAAAATACCCCTCAAAGTAAGAAAACCGAAGCATTTGATACAAAAACCTTTTCTCAGCTACATCCACTAGTCTGAAACCCGAAGCCCTAAATTATACATGCAAATTTCTGAAACCTGAACCCTATAGCCCAAATCCCAAACCTAGATTCCAAACCATCGACCCTAAATCCCCAACCCTAAATGCTCCAAACTCTCAATCCCAACTCCTAGATCCTACACCCTCAGCCAACCCCACGTCCAAAATCCCACACCCTATGCCCTAAACCCTACACACCCTAAGCCCTAAACACCCTAAACCCTAAACACCCTAAGCCCTAAACCCTAAGCCCTGAACCCTAAAGAAGGCCTCCTTCGGCTACATGCTGCAAGGCCTCAGCCACTCTGCTTCTGCTTCGTTGGAACCATTTTTGAAGTGTTCGCAATATGGGTAGTTCCCATACTTAGGGTCCCATTTGTGGAACCCCTAAATGTTTGGTCCCGAAATTTAATCTATAATCAAAAGATGCCCACACTGTTGAGAACAGCCCATATGATAAAGCCTCTCACCCTGTTCATGAACACTTCCAGTTCTTGCCGATATTTTCATGAGGTGGATTGCGCTAGGAGTTATATAAGTACACTTACCAATGTCCCCTGAACCTCCAACGAGCCTTCGACCTTACTCCACTTCCTCCAGCAAGAATTTGAAGTAGGCTGACCCCTTAACGCTGCAGTACTAGTAACAGCCGCAGGACTAAGAATAGCAACTAGAAATGGACAACGCCCGGTATGCACTGGCCTCCTTTAGACGTACATTTGCGAGGGTCTGCGGGCAAAATCATACTGTGAACGTTGGAAAGCTTGAAAATGAGGATTGCAGCTTATTCGGGGTCTTAAGTCACTCGAGTCCCCCAATATACTTTAATTCCTAGGTTATACAAGACTCTAGGTAATCCCAACCCCATACCGGTCAGGTGACCCAAATAAGGTCGGAACGGCCTGGGTTGGGGTTTACCAAAATCTGCTTTATTGCTGAGGCAGTTGCTAGGGTAAGTGGTGCAAGATTTGGGAGCTTCTAACATGAACCCTACATAATTCCAAATAAGGACTCCAACCGTTCCCCTAAGATCCCTACATATGGTAGTTTCCCCCAATATACTATAATCCTTATTATAGGGACCCAAAAAGGTACCCCGAATTTTGGGAAACACCCATATATCTTGAAATCCCTAGGGACCCCCTGTTAAAAGAAACTCTCAGCCCATGTCCTCCATGCACCATACATTGCCTCAAGCAGGTTTCCCTTGCACCCTTATAGGGTTTGTACCCATGGGCTTGGATCCCAAGACCATGGAACACAGCACCTGAATCAGGGTATTTAGGACCCCAAACCCAAGGTCGTCACACACCTTAAGCCACACATTGAGCCCTGAAATCTAGTCCCGGACCCTAAAATGCAAAAAATGATTTCCGAGGCTGCGGCCCACAACGTTAGGCCAAGAAATCGCATGGATGGCGCCATCCTGGGTGCGATCTACTTACGTCATCAAAGGGTATAGCGTCCGCAAAGGATGGATTCAAGGTATGCTAGTGGGGGGTGACTCCAGGAACTACAGCAAAGGTTACAAAGGTTATAGGCCCCCTTAGGTAGATAGAGTATGGGGTATATGGGGATCTCATGGTAATATACCCAAAGCCATATTCTATCTACTCAAGGGGGGCTATACATGGATCCCTTTCTTCGTTTGTCTCAGCCGAATGCCACTTACCCCAACAAGGAACTACCCGGAGTGTTCGAACCCTAGACCCTAAATCCCTTTAAGAAAATCTCATGCATTCCTTACCCTCTATATCTCTACAATTTGCTTTTCAGGGCTAAAAGCAAGGATTCTGAGAATAGGGACTTTTTTCGCCAGGAGACTGTACAGATTGCTGGGTCCTATGATGCTACATATTAGGCCATCCCAAGTTACAGTAACAGTTACAACAAAAAAGGTAAGGAACTCTCATAACCGGTTTATAGAGCCCCTTGATGGATGCTTACTGTGAAAGGGGATTACCCCAACAACATAGCAACATCGGAAACGTCTCATCATGAACTTAGCCCACAGTACCCTAGGAAGACAAAAAGGGATCCTTTTAAATTACATAAAAATAAGGAATCCCATACCCCCAAAAAGCATGAAGAATCCCTAAGACTGATCCAGTAAATCTGTTCAACCAGGAGTGACAGAAATCTACCTTTGGAAAGCAAGATGCAACCTGTTCAGCATGGGACGTTAAACTGGCTGGTCCAGCCAGGTAGGCATAAGACAGAACTTGAACTAGTGACATGATTGGGGCAAGTGATTTACGCTTTATCTCTCTTTGAGGTACCTCATGTTTATGTTAAGGATATTTTAGGAGGACC